ATCCTTTGAGAAGGAGCCAAGTGTTTCCCTTTGTCACCCATCCCTGGTACTTCCTCAGGTCTCCATCCCAGACCCTGAGGAGCAGCCACTGCTGTGGGGTGGGGAGAATGTTCCCATTCAAACACCAGCCTGGGCTGTTTTGAGGTTGTTCCTCTGGTTTTGGGGGCAGTTGTGTTCCCAGGGGGTCAGGAGGGAGCCCCACGGGCAGGGCTGCTCCCAGGGGAGCTGCTGCAGGAGCTGCCAAGCAGTGGGGCTGACTCCATCCCTTCCAGCTGGGGCAACACAGGGTGGCTTGGGGGGGTGGGATAAAGATGGGGGGGAAAGGGAGGAATTGCATTGGTAACTGGCCAGGCAGGACACACCGGGCTCAGCCCTGAGCTCCAGAACTGGGGAAACTGAGGCACGAGGGAAAAGTCAAAGCTGGAGGCAGGGAGTGACCACTTGTGCAGCAGCTGGGTCAGTGGCACCAGGTTCATCCCTGCTTTGTCCCCAGCCCTCTGGGATAAGCACCAATGCAAGACACCTGAAGGTCCATGGGCACCAGCCCCACCAGCTCCTCACTCCCACCCCAGCTCTGGGGGCTCGATGCTCCCCTGGGAGCAGCCCCCCAACTCAGTTTGGAGCAGCAGACCCTCCCCATTGCCCTGCACAGCACCCCAGGACATCTCCTGCCCTGGGGAGGCTGGAAAACCAACTCAACGGGTGAGATTACCCCCCAGTGCACACCAGTACAGCCCAGCTGCTCCACACTGAGCTTCCCAAATGCTGCAGACCTGAAGCCACATCCCTCCAACCAGCCCATCACTGCCTGTCCTGCCCCTCCAAAGCCCCAGCTGGGGAAGCAGCAGCTCCCTGGGTGGATTTCAGCCCCTCCAAGCCTGTGCAGGACCCTCCCCCCCCAGAAGCCAAACACCAAAAGACAAAGAAAGAAACCCAGCAATTCCCTCCAAACCCAGCTCAGCTGCAGCCCAGCCCCTCGGCTGCTGGGAAGCACCAGGATGGGCACCTTGGGCTGGCCCCTCCAAACCCCCAGGTGGGGAAGCAGCAGCTCCCTGGGTGGATTTCAGCCCCTCCAAGCCTGTGCAGGACCCTCCCCCCCCAGAAGCCAAACACCAAAAGACAAAGAAAGAAACCCAGCAATTCCCTCCAAACCCAGCTCAGCTGCAGCCCAGCCCCTCGGCTGCTGGGAAGCACCAGGATGGGCACCTTGGGCTGGGAATCACTGCAGAGGGGCCCTTGGCATTGCACTTCCAGCCTTTGCTTCAATCAAGCACCCAAAGCAGCACCCACACACCCCAAACACCTCCCCAGAGGGTCACAAGGAGCCACAGCACCAGGGAGCCTACCCAGACCCCAGCACCCACCTCAGGGGGGGCTCAGCTTTAAACCCAGGGCACAAAGCAACACAGGATCCCTCGGGACACATGGAAACGGCTCCAAGCTCAGCCCAACCCTTCCCAGCTCCTGGGGAAGGAGGTTTCTCAGCCCGGATCACTCACCCTGAGCAACCAGCACCGCGAGGGCAGCAGCTCTTCCCTCCGAAAGGGCTTGGAATGTTAAGGAAGGACTTCCCAGCCAAGCAGACTCGTGGCTGTGGCTTCACTTGCTGAGGGGAGAGGAGGAGGAGGAGAAGGAGAAGGCAGAGGAGGAAGGGCTGGTGTGCTGAGCAGCCCCAGGTGTGCTGAGCAGGCTCAGGTATGCTGAGCAACCTCAGGTGTGCTGAGCAGCCTCAGGTGTGCTGAGCAGCCCCAGGTGTGCTGAGCAGGCTCAGGTGTGCTGAGCAGCCCCAAGTGTGCTGAGCAGGCTCAGGTGTGCTGAGCAGCCCCAAGTGTGCTGAGCAGGCTCAGGTGTGCTGAGCAGCCCCAAGTGTGCTGAGCAGGCTCAGGTGTGCTGAGCAGCCCCAGGTGTGCTGAGCAGCCTCAGGTGTGCTGAGCAGCCCCAGGTGTGGGGCAGGAGCCACCATTCCCCTTGGGGTTGGACTCTTTGGAGTTGGGATCTGCTGCTTTTTGGGGTGGCAGCTCTTTGCACCTTTGGGGTCGGTTCCAACCTTGCCCCATTTGATCTGCAGAGCCCTTGGCTGCAGCTCCCTGTAGGGGCCCCGTTCAAGAGGTGACCCCAGGGCTGTCATTAACCACCCCCACCCTCCACCACCTCCTGTTGGGACAAGAGATGTCCCACCACTGAGCCTGGCACCCAGCAGCACTGCCTGGGGTGGCCCTGGGCACAGGACACAGTCTCACAGGTGGGCTCTGCACCATCCCAGGGTCAGCTCTCCCACACATCCCCCTATGGAAATCATTTCCCCAACCCATTTTTCCACATTTTGTCCATTTTTGACCCAAACTACAGCCCTGCCAGCCTGGAGGTCCCTTGGTGGTGCAAGGTAAGTGCCAGGAGTGGAGCCCTTTGCCTCTCTGGCCTCCATCCTCTGCTGTGGTGACCCAAGGGACACACCATGGTCCATCCTGGTCATCTTGGGGACAACCCCACTGTTGTCTTTTGCTGGTGTTTTTGGTGAAATGGCCCTTTTTCTTGGCAGGGATCCCCCTCCTGCAGCAGGGCCCTCTGGGGTGGGGACACACTGGCTGGATATTTAATCTGCAGTTGGTTGAGCTGGTTCCTGGGCAGGATGAGGAGCCACCAACCAGCATCACAAGCTGCACAGCAGGAGATCTCTGGTGCTTCCAGGACGGTTTAACTTCCCAGCTTTGCAGTCAAGTGGGGTAAATGGAGAGATCCAGAGGTGTTTGCTTTGCTTTATTTCTTCAACTGTTACATTTTTAACCCAGCCATCCCTGTTAAAATCCCACAACTGCTCTGGCAACTGCACCTGCAGGCGAGGGATGTGCTGCTGATGTTCTCCTCAGGGACAGCACAAGGTCTTCTCACCCCTCTGGATTAATTCATAGGAGCTGTTCAGCGTGTTGCAATGATCCCCACGTGGCTCAGAAATGCCTCCCTGGAAGATGCTGCTGAGTTGGGCAGGAGGGTCCTGGGGTGTGAGGAAGATGCTGGGATAGGAAGATGCCAGGGTAGGAGGAGGATGCTGGAGCAGATGTGTGGTCCAGGCAGGAGCCACCACAGGCAGGTTCCCCTCTCATCCTCCATCATTTGTCACCTTGGGTTGCAGCCACTTCCCATGACCAGGCTGAACCTCAGGCAGTAAATGAAGGAAGAAAACAAACCCCAAAACTCCAGGGCAGCTCCTGGCCTGGCTCCTGGTGGTGTCTGAGGCTCCAACTCCTTGTTTCCAAAGCCTGGCCCAGGGCCTGGCATTAGCTCTGCCTGCAGCTGGTTAAGGCCAAATGAAAAGTTCTTTTTCAGCTAAAAAAACAACCTCCTGGCAGGTCCCCAGGGATGCTGCTCCGGGGCAGAGCCTGCCAGTGACTTCTGCTTGTTGCTGTTTATTGCATTGCACCAGTGCCTTCAAGAATCTGGGGATTAAGCAGCCAAATAAATAGCTGAGCCCAGGGCTGGTATCAATCCCATTGGAACCTTGGGAATGGCACCAACTCTCAGCCCACAGCCCCATCCCTGCCCCCCTGCAAACTGGGATGCTGGTACCCAGACCTTCTGGGACAGTTTGCATTGGAAACAGAGGCAATTTTCCCTCGTGAAGTAGGAAAAAAACACACTCTAGGGGTGGATGAGGGGGAGTTATGGGGTTGATTTTTTGGGAAAAGGGGGGTTCAAGAGCCCCAGGGCTGGGTGGGCACCAACACCAGGGCATGAAGCAGATGCCACCCCTGTTGGAAAGGCAGAAGAAGAGAGAAAACGGAGACATGATCATAAACATGGGAACAAAACCCGCCGAGTTTTCCAAGGGAGCAGGAAAATGAAAAAAAAAAAGCCACCACAAGGCCCAGTTCCCAGCAGCAGAGCAGGGAAGGGTTTTGTTTCTTGCAGGCTTTAATCTGCTGTTTCCCAGCTCTGGTGCCAAACGCCGTCGGGGCCGTGTGGGGGGCGAGGAAAGAATCGGGAGAGAGATGGAGACGTTGCCGGGAAAACCCTCCCCGGGTCTGCAGCTCCGGCCCCTGTGGGGACAAGAAGGGGTGACAAGAGCTGGGGATGGGTCCTCTCAGCACAGCCCCCCCTGGGCCGGGGGGGTGTTGGTCTCGGAGCTGCTGGAAAAGCTCGTGCTGGGAAGATGTTTGTTTCTTTTTGCTGGAGAAGGCAGTTTCCAAACCTCTCCGCGGGGATGTTTGGGTCTGGAGAAGGATGTTGTCCCTGAGGTTTGCAAGGTCCCAGGCTCCGGGCTCACTTCAGGAGAGAGGGAGAATAAAAATGTACAAGGATCCCATTTAATGCAGGGAGGACCTTCCAGGCCTTGATGTGCAGCAGGGAGGGCTCTGGGCTCAGGAAGGTCAAAGGCAGAGATCCCACCCAAGCAGCAATGCCACATTTTGGAGCCTCCTGAGTCCCTGGAGAGCAGAGCTGTCCTCATCCCTACGCTCCAACACATCCTTCCTCATCACTGGCATCCGAGATGAGAAGAGCTGGGAGGAGTGGGATGAGCTGGGATGAGCCCTCAGCACCAGCAGACACAGCTGCTGCCCATGGACAGGGTGTTTCTGGCTGGAGAACAGGGTCAGAGCACAATGGGCACCATCTACCTCTGGATGGGTGGGGAGGGCAGGATCAGGGTGGTCCTCAGATGCTGGGGGAGATGCTGGTGGCAGATGCTTTGAAGAGGTAAAGCTGCTTCTGCTCCAAAAAAAACCCCAAAACATAAAAGAATCTTTCTCCATTTCCCCATTTTTTAGCAGGTGACACCTCCCCGGGGATGGGGGGAAGAGAAACAGGCAAAGAGTAAAAAGATGCTTTGGAACTTTGCAGCCACCTGCCCTGGTGGCACCTGGTCATGGAGGGGCTGTGGGGGTGGGCGATCCCACCTTGGTGCCCTTGGCTCAGCACCCACCCCCTGGCTCCTGGGTCTCAGAGAGGACCCTCCAGCCCTAAAAGTACAAAGGTGAAGGATATTCCTCCTGTTCCTATTTATTTTAACCTCGTGGCTGTGCCACCACTGGGTGGGCCTGACAGCTCCTCACCCCTGTCCCCCGTGAGCCCTCCTGGGTGGGCTTCACCCCTGGGGGCATCAGAGGGACATCACAGGCACGTGTCAGGGGGCAATCGACTGGAAAGGGGGCTGAGCACCAGAGCAGTGACCAGCCCATGGCTTCCCCAGGGGCAAACATGGAAAAGGCCCTGGGAAAAGACTGGGAAAGAAACGTTGGAGCAAAAATTGCTCGTTTGCAAGAACATGGTCAGTGGAGACTTCCCCTCTTGGGCTGCTGAGCTTGGAGCTGCCTCCCGAGCTGCATCCCGTGGCACAGCCTCACCCAACACAGCAAATCCTCTTCCTCTGCTTCATTCCTCCTTTTATTCACATTTTCCTCCTGCATTTTCCTGCTGTGATGGGTTTTTTGGGGAGGGTTTTGTTTCTGTGCTACCTCCTCTCCGGGGATTGCACCGCCCCAGTGCCGGGCTGGCTCTGCAGCCTCAGCCCTGCTCTCCATCCAAAGGGAACAAAAAAAACCCCACAACACCCAACGGGACCTGGGAAAACCAGCACCAGCACCCACCCCTCCATGTCCCTCCCATGTCCTTCACTCCCTACAAAAACCAGCACAAATCCCCCGTGATGGGCTTTGGGGGTCACCACACACCAGTGACTCCGTTCCTGGGCACCTTTCCCATCCCTGCTCTGCCAAAAACCTTGAGCTTATCACATTATCCTGCAAACATCCCATTGCTGATGAGCATCCTTGCTCTCTCCAGGCCTCGGAGACCCCCAGGACACTGCCCACCCCCAGCATCCCCCAGGGAAGATGAGGAGGAGGTGGGACCACATGGCATCGAGATAATATTTAATGGCCCCGTCGGGCTGACGAGCTCCGGTCAAGCGCGTTTCCCAGTGGGTTGAGGTTGGGCAAGGGGACACTACCCCCCAAAAAACATCCCCCCCAAGCCCAACCCTGCTGAAATAAAGTGCTGCACGGGCTGGTGGGGCATCTCCTGTCCTGCAGTTTGTGTTGGGTCCCAAAGCAAAGGTTCCTCTGTCAAAGCCATCAGGAGAAAGGCTTGTAAGGCCAAGGGCATCCATGGGGAAGTCACCGAGAGGCAGCCAGGAGAGGACACCCCATCCCAGGTGAGCGCTCCCAAGGGAGCAGCAGGTCAGCACCTCCCTCCCAGCACCCACTGAAAAACCCCAGAACCCCTCCAGGACATGGGGTTTTGGGGTCACGGGTGGGTGCTGGGCTGAGGCACTGCAAGGTCAGTGTCCCCGAGGGGGGTGAGGACATCAGACCCGTGTGCCCAGCTCCATCCCCAGCGCCCAGGAGCTGGGCCGGGGCTCGCTGGGCTCCAGCAGC